TCAAAGAACTAAATCAATTTTGAGGACGAGTACTCGAAATGGAACTATTTTTCAACATTGTTGACCTTGCATCAAGTAGATATACTTACAAGCAAGTGTATCTAAGAAAATATGTCAAGTGACAGAAGAATAGAAACTTGTGTACAACATATGACAGTCAAATGTGACAGCCATATGTCTGATGTGTTGAAAATTTCAGGAAAAAAATCCACCACCAACTATTATTGTATTCTCTAAGAGTCAAACATTAGTCATGTTTTCAGATTTCCACATCAAATAATATATCTGAAAATCATAATAAATCAATATTTAATTGATTGAATATCTGCTATTGCTTATAATGTAAACACTTTCCTTCTTTGTATCAAATAAATCATATGATTACTTGTAGATCTTGCTTTTTCTACAGTTTAATCATTTCTGAAATTATTGGAACAATTGAAGGGATAAAATATTCAAGATTTGTTGTTGAAGTCATATTTTTTCTCCGTACTCTCTAGAGTAAAGGGAATAAAATAAAATGTAGTGTTGTAGGACCTATGGAGTTCCGTTGGAGCCACTCGCACCTTCGCACTTTCGCCTTTAGAGAGAAATGCAAGAGTGGAAGTTGCGAAGGTGAAAGTGCGAAGTTGCTAAGGCGAAGGAGCGAGAAAGTGCAAAGATGCAATGAAGCGCAAAGGTGCGAGGACGAAAGTGGGAAGGCGAAGGAATGATACTAGTACCGCTCCTTCGTTTTTGCACCTTCTCAATTTCGCCATATTCATTAGTAAAAACGTCATTGTACCATTAACTTAAACAACTGCTTACCATCCATTTTGGCGCCGTCGTACTGATCTAGTACATTTGTAACAATAACATCCGAGAGAAAAAAAAATAAAATTAACTCTTAACTATAAAGAGCTCCACATAAATCAAATGCGAAGGCGAAAGTGCAAGGTTCCGAAGGCAAAAGTTTGAAGTTGCGAAGCAGAAAGTGTAATGTTAGTATCACCTTTTCTTCGCAATTTGGCACTTTCGCCTTTGCAACTTCGCACTGTCCATCTTCACTTTAAAGGTGAGAGTGCAAAGATGCGAGTGGTCCAAACGGAACATCACAGGGACCTGGGCTATTCTTAGTAGTTTGGAAACTAAATCCAATTGACTGACTACAGTCAAGCTGTGTCATAAACCACCTCCTATCCCCTCACTTCAATTAACATAAGCCTGTCAACATTTCCTTATTTTCTACACCTCAGTTCAAGGTTTTGATATATTACAAAAATAAAAGTATTTTGCAAGACTACTCAGATAAAGAATACTTAAAGTTCTAAATGACAGAACTCATTTTTAAGGTTCGCTAGGATTGGGTGCCGCCTTATTTATTTTAAATAAATGGATTATAAATTTATAACATTTTCGTAGAGATTGACACAAGATATTGCATTCATGCTTACAGACGTTATATGAAATGTACAAGCATCTCATAGTTATAAAATATAAAACAAGGAAATTAATATTAATCCTTTGTTAAGCGTTTGTTAGAACAATTACTTTAGGACTACACATATAGTACACAAAATAATGATTTAATCAAACTTGTCATATTTGATTAATGTTATCGTTTCATTTTTATATTACATTTCATTTAGTTTATAGACATTTTTGAAGGAAAAATATACTTTCAATGAGAATTTTCTTTTTTCTTTTCAATTTATCTTCAGCTAGGTCAAACAACATTCTTCACAAGTCTCATGATAAAAGGCACTGCAGAGTCTGCTACATTTTTCATATTTGGATGTTTTACTGACTATAGACGATAAGGACCAACAAACAACTGAACTATATTTATATGACAAACGCGATGACTTCAGCTTTTCCATCGTCATTTTTCCTTATCAATGGAGTAATACTCCAATTTCACCTGCGTGTGCTGTTTATGTCTCGTTACCCAAGAGCATATTCTGAGTACGATCAATATTTTAAACCGAAACGGGATTGAAATGTACTTACGGCCTTTGAGCAGTAACAGATCTTTTTCGTGCCATCACCTGCTGCGACACAGGACCTGGGTTTATACGGTCTCATCTCCACGTCCCACAGTGGGACTCGAACCCGTAACATATAAGGATCAACTCCTTACTCCAGGAAATCTCTAATATATCTGTCATGCAGGCGACCTCTGTCAATCTTTTCTTTCTGAATGATTTTGTTTAGTTGACCATTATTTGAATATTCAGAATTTGAAGAATTGTTATAATATTTCAAATAGTCTATTTCTTCTTTAGCAAAGATCATATATCTTTCTTCGAGCATATCAAGTACTGGCAACATCATCAACTGCATTTTGATACCAGTATGAAATATGGAGATAATCAAGCTCAAAATGCGTATTTACTATTTGTATAAAATGGATTTCACAACAGGCAAACCTTAGGAATGACCTTTTAATAATTTGGATTAAAACTTAACAAAAATTCAAATTTAAAATGCAGGATATAATTTGAATAAGCTGACATCAAAAGGTTGCATATATTTTAAATTTTAATATTTTGATCTCAATTATACTATTATACTAGAAAAATCAAAATTAAAGTCCTCAGTGGTCAATTTAATTAAATTATATCAAAGATGATACTGTCAAGTCATAGAGAATTGCTTATATATGCATCTAACATTGCGATTTTTCAAAAAGTCTATTTCTTCTTTAGCAATGATTATATAACTTTTCTCGGGCATATCAAGTACTGTAAACTGTCATTAACTGCACTTTGATACCAATATGAAAATGGAGATAAACAAGCTCCAAAGTCCATTGAAACACTACAAATTTAGAGAAGTGCAAATACGGACCTCTAAAAACATCAACGTGGGATCAAATACCATGGAGGAGTAAGCATTCCCTGTCGATCTCACCCGCCGTGTACTCCTTGCCATGATCGGACAATTCAGTATGTACAAAATGGTCTATCAATTTGTATGGAAAAAGTCAGACACAAGATTTAATGATAGATTGTATTTTCTGGCTGGATCATTGTATCGACCGTTGAATTTGCAAAATGGTGACTTTAATCGAGACTGTTGATATCCTTGTTTCGTCAACTTGATTGTCAATAGTTGAAGGTATCACGTTTATCATAAAGTTTTGTTGTTAGGTTACAATTAACATCTATAACATACAACTTCCAAATGTTGATAGACATAAAATACGCAGTACAGTTAAGGTGACAAATGGAAATATCGGCGAATTTTTGAGATAGAAAATACATTCTTTACAAGGATGGGCGTTTCTTTTTAGGACTTTACTAATTATCGGACAAATGCAATGTGGTTGAAAACTACATGTTGAGGACGATTAGATTTCTTATTTAGACTTTTCTCGTGATGTGGCAGTCACGTGATTTTAGCAAATATACCTGAAGTATTGAGGTCATCTATAAATTCTAATATTGCAAGGGCATAACCAAGTTAAAAATCTAAGTTTAACATATAATTATTTTCAACACTCTTTGTAGTTTATGAAAAGTGCTGCAAACCTATATAGATTCTATTATCTAATTGCTAAAATTACATTTGTTAGACCGTATGTTGAATATTTTGCTGGTCAAGTACATTAAATATAGATATAATTAATTCATTTGCAAGATTTCAACAGGTTCGCAGCACTTTTCAAATATCTTTATACTTCTTGAGTTTATGTGTAAAAGCTTGTCATAATTCATTGAGGGTATGCCCTTGCAATATATCGATTTATTATGACCCTTCTATTATCTTTCAATGAATCTGCATACAAATATACGCCAGTATCGTTTGTCTAGGGAATGTACGGGAAATATATGAATAAAATCATAAAATAGACATCGCATCCAAGTTAATGGCCTCTTATATATCTACAATTTATATTTTATTTAATTACAAAATACATTTTTCATTGTATAAATATAACTTGATCCGCCTCTCACTGCATATAAACTGCGTCAAATTTTACGATATGACGTCACATTGACAAGTGCATTGCGATCAGTGAATTGTTTATATATTGCTGTGTGGGATTTAACCAACGACAATAAAGCATGCACTAGTTAGTATTGATGTAGTTTAAAGCTATTCAACAGTTTAAAATAGCAAATCATTCCATTTTGTGGTAATTTGAAGAACATGTATTTTTGTGTGATGTCAAAGTAAGCATTTCCCGTATAAATTAGGCCCCGCCTCCTTACTGCAGCCTTAACTGTGCTGCGTATAGAATATATATATATATATATATATATATATATATATATATATATATATATATATATATATATATATATATATATATATATATATATATATATATATAAATATGGGGGGGGGGGGGTATGTATGTAACTATGGCCTCACCCAAGCCACAGGGGACATGGTTTGAACAGATTTTAATTTTCACAATGTAATGAAGTTAAAATAAGATTCATCTTTTCTGGCCAAGTGATTATTGAGAAGAAGATTTTTAAAGATGTTATTAAATTTTCACTTCATACATGTATTAATTATCTTCCCTTGAATGAGTGCGAGGCACCTCATCTGAATATTAACAAACTCAAACCCTAATACCAAAGAAAATTTTGTGGCGAATTTGGTAGAAATATGGTTCTTGAGAAGAAGTAAAAAATGTGAAAGGTTTACAGACGAAAGACGACACACGTTGATTTAATTTCCTTTATCGGCATATTTAGATAACTTAAAACTGATTAAAACTGATCTTATGGAATTTATCCCGAAACAGAAAAATATAGATGTAAAGGGAATCAAACGAAAAACAAGAACATGGATTACAAAATTTCCTCACCCCAAATTATTAAAATAGAACCAAATAATCACCTACAAATACAAGGAAAATCAAATACAGTCCAGTAGAGTGTTAAAAATAAAAATAAAAACATATCTTATATTTTAAATGCTGTATTGTAAATACATGTATAACTACACGTGAAATATATCATGGACATTTTCTTCAGTACTTTATATGTATTCAGTGTGTGTATCATATGTTCTTGGTGACTAAAAGAAATCAACATAAACAATATTCATTACTGAACACTGATATTTTCGTATCGAAGTGTATTTGCCAACACATACACTCCGTTGTCGGTCGGTGTACAGGTTTCATCAGGTCTTGAATATTCTTGTGAAGGGTGTAAATGAGGGTTATATGTGTTTCCCGTATGTTCAGCCATTATGGTGCCAACATGGTGGGCGTTTTGCCTGATGTGCCTGGTGAAGAATCTTCTGTTTGCTATAGAGATGATGATGAAAGCGATGATAATGAGAATGATTCCAATAACTGTTACCACTATGATGATGGTGTTGCTATCTTTGGATTCCCCGTTTTTTTGTATATCTAAATAAGAATGAAATGGAATACATAAATACTTTGGATAATAGAATTCAGCTTGCAATCTATGGTTCATGTAAATTGAAAATAACAGATATACAGACTTTAGCGATATTTTTATTGACTTACACACCCTTAATGCATCCAAAAATGTGATTGCAGAACTCCTGCACACATATGCATTTATATTGGCAGTCATGACCATAGTTAGGATATCGACACGGTATGGAACATTTTGATCCAATATACCCTGGTTGACATTCTAAAAGTCATATAAACATGATCACTTTTATAATTATTCACTGACGTTTGAGATACCATTAATTGTATTGTAACATGTCTGAAAGCATAGAATTTCAGAGTTTTACCACAACAAAAAGTGTTTGATGCTCTTCAATTAGTGGAGCTTCAGGTCTTTTCCTTACTTGTGTAAATAAGATTTATCAACGAAATTCAACTTACCTGTGCAGTTTCCTGTTTCCTTGTTATAAAATGTATCATCGGGACACGACATCTGGGAGTTTCTGATCAAAATATCCGCAAGTTAATTAGATACATAAATGAAAATATGATGACCTTGATTACTTGTGTACAAACGAGGTACTTACCCGTAGAGACAAAATAACGAGAGCAATGGAATTCTTATTTTTCGTAGAAACACTGTAGCGTTTTCACTTATTATCCGAAATCCTTTTGCTGAAATTAACATTTAGCATATCCAGAAACACTTGAAAATTCAAAAATTTCTGCACGTGGAAGTTAACTGGAATTGTTGATGTGATATGTCGACATTCAAGCAACCATTGAGTGCACTTTCATATAAATGTAGTATGTGGAAATATGTCATTAATAACAATTGCTAGATATTTAAGCAATTTTTTCTCTCTAAAAACGATAAAATATGGCTACAGTGAGCACTTTTTAATTCCTTTTGTAATTAGAGACGACTGGTTCTTCCTTAGTTTCTTATTTTTGGCAAGTACAAATGCATAAATTTTGGACTATTTGTTTCCTTCCTTTTAAAATGCTTTAAACATCATATCCTCCTTACAAACAAGTCCCTTGAGTATGTGTTTTAATGCTTTCTTAAAATAGCACATAAACAATTTCAATGAGCTATTTAAAAAAAAAATTAATGCAAGCCTTAACATATTTTGTTGCTTTTTTATTTATCCCCAATGTGCAAATAATTCTTCAGGGAAATATCTGGTAATTTTTGGTACCAGTTTAAAGAACACTATACTTTGAAATCCATTAAACACCATTTAATTTCAAATTCCTCAGACAATTGTATAATCAATCTTTTTTTAAATAGCAAAATCTTTACCATAAAAAGATACTTTTTCTATATCATGTAAGGGTTTAGTTGGACATTAATTTGAAATTTAACTCTTGATCAAAAAGAAATCTTTTTTATTCTACATAAAATATGAAGAAATATAATCCCTGATTAGCTTGAAATTCAATGTTTGCGTTTCCTTCATTTGTATCTATTAATAACGCTATTTGCTACTACTGATCTGTTTTTGTTGTTCCGAGAATCAATGTTGCAGTCTCCAAATGCCTCCATATATTCAAAAGGCAGTTTTACTAAGCGGTAAGAAGAGGGCTATTTTTTCACTGCTTATTTTATATGCCCTAGTCAAGCAAGCAAATCAAAACAAGTATTTTAAGCTCACCTTAGCCGAAGGCTCAAGTGAGCTTTTCATATCGAAATTTTTCCGTTGTCTGTCGTCGTCGTTGTGGTAAACTTTTCACAATTTCATCTTCTTCTCCAGAACCACTGGGCCAATTTCAACCAAACTTAGCACAAAATATCCTTGGGTAAAGGGAATTTAAGTTTGTTCAAATGAAGGGCGACGCCCTCTTTCAAGGGGAGATAATTATAAATTGGTGAAAAATTAATGGTATATCCTTTTAAAATCTTCTTCTCATGAACAACTAGGCCAGGAAAGATGAAACTCATGCGGAATAATCCTTAGGTAGTGTAGATTCAGATTTGCTCAAATCATGACCCCCGGGGGTAGGGTGAGGCCACAATGGACTAAGTTATACATAGGAATATATAGGATAATTCTCTAAAAATCTTGTTCTCAAGAACAATATAGCTATGATTGATCTGGTAGCATCCTCAGGTAGTGTAGATTCCAGTTTGTGCAAATCATAACCCCCGGGTGTAGGGTGGGGCCAAAATGGACGAGCAAAGTTTTACTTAGGACTATATAGGAAAAACCTTTAAGAATCTTGTTTTCAAGAACAACAAAGCTATGATTGGTAATAATTTACTGGAAGCATCCTCAGGTAGTGTGAATTCAAGTTTATGCAAATCATTACCCCTGGGGGTAGGGCGGGACCACAATGGACGAGCAAAGTTTTACATAAGATTATGTAGGAAAAATATTCTTCTCAAGAACAGCAAAGCCATGATTGGGCATTATATATTTTGAAGCATCTTCAAGTAGTGTAGATGAACGAGCAAAGTTATACATAGGAACACATAGGACTTTTTTTTTTTAATTTTCCTCTCAAGAACAGCAAAACCATGATTAGTTATATGGAAGCATCCTCAGGTAATGTAGATTCAGATTTGTTCAAATCATGACCCCCGGGAATAGGGTGGGACCACAATGAAACTTCAAACTTATAGGATAAAAGGCACAGCTCGGCAAAGAAATATGTAAGCATCCTTTTAGAGGTAGGTCTGGGCCACTTATGCATTTATACTTTTAATACTGAACTAATTTCTACTTTTCTCCTAGCCACAGTGCTCAAGTGAGCGATGTGGCCTATGGGCCTCTTGTTATTTACTACTTTAAAAAACAGCAAGTTAATATTACCAGCCTAGTACCAAACATGACATCCCTAACAAAACTAATATAGTTACAAGTAACTATAGTAAATCAAAGCTTAAAATTTATCACTAAACTAAATAAAACATTTCGAAGTTGTACTGAAGTGTCATAGTGACCACCATAGTGTCATAGTGAGCACTAGGGTGTCATAGTCACTTTAGTGTCATAGTAATCACTATAGTGTAATAGAGATCAGTGTATCGTCATAGGTACCACTCTAGTATAATGTGATCATATGATCATTATAGTAAATCAAAGTCTTCAAAGTTACCACTATAGCAAATCATATTTCAAAGTGTTAATTATAGTCATTCAAAGTTATTACTACTGTAAATGATTTTCTGAGAAGCCTCATTTCATTAATATCTGATACCTTTTAAAATATTGTATTTTCAATAACTGCTTACGTCAAAAGAATCTTAAATGAAGACACTGAGGTCCCGTGTCGCAGTAGGTTCTGGCACGAAAACGATCCCTCACTGCTCAATGGCCTTGGGTGCCGAGTACAGGTATAAATTTGCAGCACTCCACCAGCAAGTGGTAGCGTCTCCATATGAGTGAAAAATTCTCGAGAGGGACGTTACACAACAACAACAACAAAAAAAATAGTGTCAGAGTAAACACTATCGTATATCAAAGTTTTCGAAGTTATTGTTATTTTTATCATCCATTTTTCGAAAAATCACTTCCGGTCGCATTTTTTTTGGTCCGATTTTCATTATTCAAAATCGTCATTTTGTCCACGCATTTTCTTAAAAAGCGACTCAAAATAGAATCATGATTTTTTCAGAGGTGATATAACATTTATTTGAGTTGTGCATTACGCCTTTTGTTTTTGCATCCGTCACTTCCTGTCGACACCAAAAGTGATATTTAATTTACGGATTTTCAGTGACGTCCAAACGGCCAGAAAAAGTCCGAATTGAAAGCCGAAGTTTTTGAAAAAATGATTTTCTTTGGGCCATTTTATAGAAATTTGTCTAAATTTTATCATTATTTGGATAAAAACTATTAATATATTACTTTCGACGTTCGTCGTCCTCCGGAAGACCTACCGTAAATCTCGAAATTTTTACGTCGATTTATTTTTGAAAATCTGGGTCAAAAGCTGTTGATTAATTTTTACGTTTTAAAATTTTGCGAATTGTCATTGGTGCTAAAATTAGAGCGCTTAATTTTTTTCATAACAGTTTAAAAGTTACGCATGTACATACAATAAAGTATGCATGTACATACAATATAAAACGTTGCCAACGATCAATAATCAGATAATAAAGTTCCTTATTAACAATTTGTCGTGCTAGGGATTCGTTGTTAGATAAAATAACTGTTCTCTTTTTCTCGGAGAAAGAATCTAAAAGTGACATACTTCATTTAAAACCATCTGTCGATATTGAATGTAGCTTCTAATATAAACAGGTCTCTTAAAATGACCACTGCTTACGAACACCTGTTCACCTGGTTAAAAATAGAAACCGAATGTCAGAAAAATTTTTGTTTACATTTTTTGTTGTTGATTTATTTTTAAGAACAATATCTTTGCGAATGCAATGCAAGCACAAATTCGCTAAGAATTTATCTACAGTTAAAATTTCCAGATTTACGGTACTCGTTGCTTTATTATTAGTAGAATTCAAAATGTCATCCCCCGACATTATATTATTGCTATAAATCGATAAAAACTGAAGATTCTTTTTCTCAAAAAGGGTTTCACATAAGAAAATTCTTATTCAATTTCATAATTTAGATATCTTAATTGGTATTTTCATGTGTATTTCTGCTTTAGTTGAGAGATATATTTTGCTTCTGTATCTATCATGCATCAAAAGGAATCATTAACTTTACCACTTACTAGTAACATTTTTGGACCTGTTTCCATCTAGATTCTAACAATTTATCTGTACATAACTAAAAAAAATATCTGTTTTCTCTGTGATGTTTTTATGTGACATGTTTTACTTGTTCGTTTTTCTTTTTCTTTTTTCCTTTAAATTATTGTTTTGTTTGTTCATTTCTTTTATAGCACTTTGTTGCCTTGTGATTTGCATTTGTCAATGTTTTAATGCACTCTATACAAAGAGATTGCCAATTATTTCAAAGTATTCTTTTGTCATTGGTCATTTGCAAAATTATTTTGCTAAAAAAATTCTGATTGTACCCACAAGTACTCCAAAGTTGATATTACAATGATGCCTGAGTTTCTTATTGACAATTTCTGTCTAGTTTTTGGAGATCAAGTCTTCCAACAATCTGTCAGAATTTCTATAGGTACCAATTTCGCCCTGTTATTAAAATTTATTTAAAAACTTCTACATGAAAAGAAGAAGTATTTTGATGTGGACTTCAATGCAACATTGAGATATATCGACAACGTAGTATCAATAAAAAAAGTCATTTTCATTCCTACCTCTGATCTCGAAATAAAAAGATAACATCACATTATGACACATAGTTTAACAGTTGGATGATTCACTAGAAAAAGAAGATAATGGTACATATAATCTGACAGCAAAGCTTAATGATAAACGTGATGACTTCAACTTTTCTATCGTCAACTTCACTTATATCTCTACCATAATACCCTTATCACCTGCATATGTAGTTCATGCCTCCCAGTTGAATCGTTACGCAAGAGCAAGCTCTATGTAGGAACAATTTCTGAAATGAGGCAAACAAGTTGATGAAACAAGGATATCAACAGTCTAATTTAAAGTAAACATTTTGCAAATTCTGTGGCAACAAATACAATCTTTTCTTAAGTCGAATGCTGACTGACGTTTTTCGTACAAATTGTTAGGCCATTATTAAGGTCTTCCGTTTCCAACAGAAGACTTTCGACTGATTCTGATGGTTAAGATAATTAAGGTCTTTCGACTTCCTTCGGAAGACCTTACTGTTTTTCT